AATTGTCGGTGTTGGAAAAGCTTCAACAGCTTGTACTTTTTTTTTATCTGGTTTAATCCCATATTCACTGATAATATGTCCTAAAAAGGATACTTCTGTTTTGAGCCAATCGCATTTTTGAGGTTCAAGTTTTAGGTTAGCTTCTCTTAGTTTTTGAGCTATTTCGGAAAAACGTTTATTGACCTCATCCACTGTTTCTCCAAAGATGATTATATCGTCAATAAAAACAAAGCATGTATTGGCGATTAAGTCCCCCAAAATTGTATTAAGAATTCTTTGAAATGTTCTAGGCGAGTTTACTAATCCGAATGGTAAAACGAGAAATTCAAATCTTCCTAATGGATGTATGCTAAAAGCTGTTTTGAAGATATCTTTCGGGTGCATTGCTACCTGATGGAAACCGGATTTTAGATCGACAACATGATAAAATTTGGCTTTCCCGAGTTGATCAAATATTTCTGTTATGTTTGGAATTAGATATGGGTCAGGAACAGTTTTTTCATTCAATTTCCTGTAGTCAATTACTAATCGCCATCTAGCTTTCCCGTCTGCTAAGCTCTTTTTCTTCACTACCCATGTTGGTGCATTGAAAGCACTTTTCGATTTCCTTATTAAATTATTAGATATCAATGATTTTACTTCTTCAATAGCAATGTCCCGTAATTTGTGTGGCAAGGGAAATTGTTTGACGTAAACCGGTTTGTTGTCTGTTAAATTAATTTCATGTTGTTCTATATTACATGTACCTAATCTGTCGCCATCGGCCCAAAATACATCTTCGTTTTCCTCAATAAGTTCTTTCATTATCTTATAGTTGTTTCCTACTAAATCTCTCAAATTTATTTTTTCTAATACTTTTTCCTTGTGGTATAATTGATTTCCTTCAATTTTTTCTTGTTCCTCTCCTAAAAAATTTATGCTCCCCGCGTATACAATTTCATTTTCATTGACGTTGAAATCTATATTTTCCGTTAGTTCAATACTGTTTGGAAAGTTTTCTAAGTCGAAAGATTGATATGTTTGGATTTCTTCTGAAACAGTATTTTCCAAAGGGAAATCTATTCCTATATTTTCTTTTATAACCGATATAAATTGTTTATAATCGTAATTGTCTGCATAATCATCCTTTGTGTTAGTCATTTCATCAGTACTCATTGCTACATTTATATCGGTAATCATGTGTTCTTTTGGAAGGGTCTTTCTCTAATTCAGCTTCCAAGTTCGTTATTCCGTTGGAAGAAAAAGGTATTAGTAATGAGTTTTTACAATTTTCGATCTCGCGTTCTACTTTTAAATCTTTGGCAGTCATTATTTCATTATTTATTTTATCCGTTGTTGTTGTGCAAGGAAATGTAACAGATTCGGGGTCCTCTAGTATATTTTCTCTTTCTAGTGGATGAAATTTGTTATTTTCCTCAAAGATTTTCGATTCTTCGTAGTGTTTTTCTTTTTCGTTTTTTGTTTTATTTTCCTTATTAATGCCATGTAAAATTTTACTTAAAAATCCCTTTTGTTCTTCTGTTATCCTTGATTCCTCTTTCTTTTTGTTTTTGGTAAAAACGATTGAGTTCATTTGAGTTAACGGTATTGATACAAGTTTTATTTTCCTACTATTTATTTCCAAATAACCTTCATCTAATCTTAACTTATTTTCTTTCAGAACAGGTATGCCAAGAATGCCATCATAAGGGATTGAAAATTCTCTTGGTACAATATGAAAATCAATTAACAACCCATTAATTGTTATTTTTATCAAACCTAATGTTTGAATTGTTTTATCATTAATACCGGATAATGAAATTTTTTCTGAGTCCAAAATAGCGTTTGATGGTATACAATCGCTTTTTATGATATTGATTTGAGCTCCGCTATCTATAAGTAAATTAAAATTAACACCCGAAAACGGATTAGTACCTGTATGTATTGTAACAAATTTTTTAACTTTAGGAAATACATTGGCATTTTAGTTTCAATGATACTTGTAAGTTCTATATTGCCATTACATTCATTATAGAGTTTCTTTTGTTTGTCATTTCGGAGGCATACTTTATTATTTTTTTCCGTTTTGGTTTGCGACTCATATTGTCTTGTTAAATTTAATGCGTGAGTTTCATTTTGATCATCAATGTCCATTTTTCGTGTTGTCGTTATTTCGTCTCTTAATTCTGCAGCGAGTGACTTTTTATTTGTTTCCTCCGTGCACTCATGTTCGGAAGAATCTATTCGTTTCCCTGATTATTACGTCTAAAACAAGTCGACTCTGTATGATCAGTACGTTTACAAATTGTACAAAATTGTTCTTGGTTATTTTCTAGTGATTTTATAATTGGACATGATTCGACTTTATGACCTGATTCCTTGCAATAAGTACAAATACTAGTGGTTTTTGCGTTTCTTTCTAAAGCTCTCAATTTCAAACAATTGTCAATTACATGATTATTCATGTGGCAATAATCACACTTAGTGTCATTATTTCTTTTCCCAAAATTATTGAATCGTGAAGGTCCGTTATCGTGATTAAAATTTCCATTTCTGAGTTTATTGTCACTAGAATTTGTATTTGAACTGATTTTATTATCGTTACTTCTATTGTTCTTACTATAGCTAACCAGGATTCTTGCCAATTCACAATTATTTGCTTCATGATCTTTTTCTTGACAGATTGTACATATTGCAAATCTACGTTCTTTCGTTTCGTCCGCGTTTGGGCAATATTTTACTGAGTGACCGATTTCATTGCAACGTCTGCATGTCACATTTGGGCAATTGCGTATCGTATGGTCGCTGCTGTCGCAAACAGCGCAAAAGTTCGTTGATTTGAAAGATTTTGAACAGTTGTGCGGGGCGTGTCCGCTTTCCTTACATTTCCAACATACTTCAAATTCTATAATAAATGGGCATTGTGTAACTGTATGACCCATCACCTGACAATATTGACAATGATTTCCTTTAACTCTGTTAAATTTGCAACCGTCTATAGAATGCCCCTGAGCATTACAGAATTTACATATCAATTCGATCTTTTTATTTACAATTTTACAATTGTTTGACAGGTGATCTTTGTTCTTACAATATACACAAGCTCCTTTGTAACAAAATAAAGCTTCATGGTTATAGTCCTGACAAATTTGACAATTATATATGTGAGTAACATTTGTTGAAGCAGTAACCGAGTCTACATTACTATGAAAGGGACTAGCGATATCACCCCTCAATAATCTTTGTTTTTTTAAATTTGTTTCAATTTCAATAGCGTCTTGTAAAGCAGTGCCCAAATTAATGTGATTTCCTAATTCCAGACGAATTTCTTGTTGTAAACCTTGTTTAAAAATTTTTAACGCGTCAGCATTTATTACTGTTTCATACGTTTTAAAATCTTCGTCAGTTACATCTGCTTCTAACTTTTTCATTTCTTTAATTTGCAAAACTATTTCCTGTAAACGGTTTGCATATGCTAAGACGGGTTCATTTGGTTTTTGGATGATTTCCGTAAATTTCCCATATAAACTATGAATATTGTCAAAGGAGGGAAATAGCTGCCTTATCACTTTGATATAATCATTTATCTTATCTATTTTGATGTTTACTAATGCTTTATAAACTTCTCCGCCCAATTTAATTTTCAGAATTGATATTAAACTTGGTTCATCTAACTCAGAAACAATTGTTTTTACGTGTTTCAATTTTTCAATATATTCATTAGTTGTCATATTTTTTCCATCGAACTTTGGAACTAAATCTGCAACGTATTTAAGTGGTAAACGTAACGGTTGCGTCATTTCGTTGCCTGTTTTTATACCGTCGTTATCGACTTATTCAAAGTTATTTGTTTGGATGATTGGATTAAAGAGTGCTATTTGTCTGGTCGTTTCGTTCGTATCTATTATACGTTTCGCGTCTTTGCAAATACTCTCTTCGTTACAAATACCACCAATGTCTGTGTATTCGTTATTATTAAATGAAAATTCGTAATTCTGATCAAGAGTAAAGTCCAAATCTAATAATGAATTTGAGTGTTCAAAATTTTGTGTTAATCGTTTAAGTGGATTTTCTACAGAGTTGTTTACGTCCAATGTATTAAATACTTGTACTTCTTGTACCGTGTTTTCGTTAGGTGTTACTATATTATTTAATGCTTTTTCTGTATTTTCCCTACTAATTCCTTTAGGAGGAGAGTGTACTAATTTCCTTGATCGTTTAAAAGGATCTATAACGGATGTGCTCGGTTGCACTATATCACTTTCCAACTCTGGTTTATTTTTTACCTGAAGCCGCGTCAGTCGTTTTGCTTCAATAGGGCTAGAGAGGTTTTTGTTACTCATTAAAATGTGATTTCATTTAGAATGTTATTTTATATAAAACAAACACCCATTTAGTACCGGAACCAATTTGTTATGTCGCGACTACGTAGCCGTGACGTGTATTTTTAAAATATGTATGATCATTCATTTATTAGTAAATATTATAGTGTCAGGAACTTACCTGGGTTATTATTTCGAGTTAAGTTGGCTGCTTAGCTTTATCTTGATAAAGTATATATGAGGTCGGTCGGTAATGATGCACGAACACTCGATTCAAGTAATTATTTATTTATTCAATGACAGAAATTTCTCAAAAATAACAGTAGGTGAATTATACGTTGTTTGGCTGTCGCGCGTCGCGAATCAGCCCGTAAGAACTTTAACAAATTTTAATGTTATTGAGTAGTCGCGCGTCGCGAATCAACTGCCGAATAGTCGAGTCTTCTGTTTTTATATTGACTCTTCGGCCCATATTAATGTGTTAAGTAATCAAAAAATCAAAATGTCGGTCGCCCCAGATTTTCGGACTACTCATCTTTTAATTTCGCTGAGTTTGTATTTTGTAAAAATGCCGTTCGTTGTTTATACATTATTTCGTTTTTCAATTGATTGCTGATGAAATCAAAATGAAGAAATAGTTACGTCTCGAGACGTAACAATGATGATGATGATGATGATGATGATGATGATGATGAGGAGGAGGAGGAGGAGGAGAAGGAGGAGAAGGTGGATGATAGCGAGGAGAGAGACAAGGAAGTGGAAGAGGAGAAGAATAACGATGAGAATGAGGATGATGATGAAGATGATAAAGATGATAAAATGGTTGGTCCAATTTACCAATATTTTATGAACGCAATTGTTAGGAAAGCGTGCTATTACTTGCCTGCTAAATGTCGAACATTACATTATGGCAATTTAAAGAATTTTATTCTGTACGACAAATGTAAAACTCCAACTATATATCCGGAAGATTGGCAGCACTTTTGTAATGGTATAAGTACGCTGTTGCGTGACCCAAAAAATGGAAAAGAAAATTGGTATCAGCGGCAATTATGTTATGAGGTACGATCATGGCATAAAGTTATCAGATATAGGGAGTATGCCAAATTTCATTCGTTTCATGACAGAAAACGTGAAAGTAGACCTGACGTCGAAAAGTGCAGATCTCGTTCAAGTACATGAGGCAAACACTCTAGAACCAGAAGACGATGTTGCTATTGTTGTGAATCATTCGAATTTGCATAAATCAATCTTTAAAAACATTAATCGTTACAACAAATTTTTCTTACATGGGTACGGTTATGGGACCACAAACAGGTACAGAAGATAATATAATATATTTATAACTATTACACGTCATTTGTTACTCTTAAACCACAGAATTATAATATTTCATATACTTTCTATACCTTAATAGCAAATCTTCGGAGCCATTGTGGGAAAACGTGACCTACGTTCAAGCGTACTTGCCTGAGATACACGCTTATATTTGTCGTCGCCCGAAAAGATGGGGTAGCGTAACAGGCTACGTGGTTGCTAGAGGCTACAGGTACGGCAAAATAAATAAATAAAGTAGTATATAAATAAGTCATTCAAAAACTATTGAATTGCAGTTATTTTCCAATGGTGCCGAAACAACAAAACAAGTCCGTAAAACGACTTATGTCGGATGCAGAAGGATTAATTTCAGATTATAAGTGTGGTATAGAGGTCCTGACATCGTCAGCTTCGTTAAGGATCGAACAAGTTAAAACTTTCATCGGATCCATGTGTTTCGTTGACGCACAAAATTCTTTGGAACAAAAAGTTCCTTTTTGACTTGCGGTACAAAAAAGTTTTTAGACCACGGTGCCTTATATTTAGCCAGCAATTGGACTCGTTACATGCTTCAGCGAACGAAAAAGGACTTTGATTTCCTTGAGAAAATCTTCATAATGGTTAAGACTACAGCTGGTAATTCAGTCACAAGATCTTTAATAGAAGAATGCTATGACTGTGAACAGCGTTTACGTTTTTTTTTGATGGATGACTGGAAGAATGTTCCTACTGCACGGTTAACTTGGCTATTGGAAAATCCACGAGAAGGTTGGCGAGGAAAAAATGTTGGAGAAGGTGATACATATTTGACCCATTCTCGCTTACGGCGAATGCCTCCAGACCTATATGTCATCGATTTTCATGAAACTTGGTAGGATGATTGTTTATATGAAGAACAATATCCGTACAAATTTTTAGGTCAATATATTAATTATTTAAAAAGTTATTAACATTTAAAAAATTTCAACGAATTTTTTTTTTCTATTCATATCTCGCTAACCGCAAAAGCTATCGACACGAATGTTTTTTTAAAATACGCACAAAACTACATACTTTTAAGATAATAACATAGAAACCCATTTTTTTTATTTTTTCAAATGTTATTAACTTTTGAATATAAAAAGTAAATTTTTTTCGATAACGGTAGTCTTGGATTTCAAAAATTCTTTTTCCTTGGCCCTTTTTCTATGAAAAACCGTTTTAACATTTTTGTAATCGGCACTTCCAGCCTCGTAATAAACAATAAACTAGTGACGGCGCCGACGCGCCGTTCGGACGGCCGCAGACGCTCGAGCGGCACACTAACCGATTGTAGCTTTCTTGTTGTATTTGTATTTTTTTTACTACAATTTGGTCTTTATTACCTCTATTTTATTATACTATTGTTAACCTAATATCAAATAAATTCAGCTTTTGTGTTAGTGATACAAATCCATAATAATTAAGGGCCCTAAGACGCGCCGGTTGGACAGCTTATTGGCGTCAGGCTTAAGCACCTGGCAATTAGCTGTGCCGCACTAATGACAGTTCTAATTTATGGCCTCATAGATAGTGTAGGTGAGAGTGACAATATTTATTATTAAGAAAATTTGTAGGTGTGAGGTAAGCTGGCCGAAATATAAGTCTCTGAGGTTCGTCCTCCAAATTTAGTTTTCTCGTGAACGTTCACGTAGAAGGTTGTGTCTGCCATTCCAGTGAAGTTTTGTGCTTTCAAAATGGTAAGAACGAGCCCCATAAGCATTAAATATTGCAAAAATATTTTTGATAAACATGAAAAAGCCCGTAGAGGGAATTTTAAAAAATTGTCAGATGGGATCTATGCTGCCTTTTCTTCATTTTTGCAAAGTGGTGAATTTTTGTGTGAAATTTGCCGAGTAGTATGTTATCGGATCATGAAAGAACGAAAAAATCTGATCAATAATAATCAGACTCCACGTTCGATAGAAGATTATGTGAGAAATATACAGCAAGAAAAGCAGAGCAAAATTGAATCAGAAATTAATAGATCTGTTTCTCCAGTAGGCCAGGAAGGTGAGCCGATGGAGATAGACTCGTGCGATTCGGAATCATTTCAAAATCCATTCATTGATACTGATGGCACTAGAGACGAAGATTTTAGTTTAAGTTTGTGTCAGCAACAAAATGAAGTGCTTGAAACAGTGAATAAATTGTGCAAACAATTGAACATAGATATTATAAGCACAGCCGATACGAAAAATTTTGAAGTTATACAGAAAAAGCTACATACTATCACATTAAGTCTCAGTAAGTTATTCCTCAAAGACTCCAAAAATGCCATTACAGATAATCAAAGTGATTTTGAAACAAAATTTACGCAGGATTTAAAATTAAAGTACCATAAAGCTGAAAATTATTCAGAAAAAATTAACATTTTGTTATTTGCACCTTCTACTTGGAATCTATCTGAAATGCAGAAAAAAATAAGTTGTACAATGTATGCTGCTCGTGAGTCAAAAAAAATTCGTGAAACTGAAACTATATTTTATCAGCCCGTGCAACGCAATAGGTCATCAGCTCTAACAGATGTTCAAATCAACATGGTAATAGATTTTTTCTTCAATTTTGAAATAAGTAGAGAATGTCCTGGTATGAGGGATACTAAAACTGTAAAACTAGGACAGTCATCAGAAAAGCTCCAAAAACGTTTACTGCTACACAGTATGAAAGAAATTTTTGCTCTTTTTACTGAGGAACACGGTAAGTTCCTTGGATTTTCTACATTTTGTCGATATCGCCCTCCGCAATGTATTTTAGTAGACGAATCAAAACGTTTTCATAATGTTTGTGTTTGCATCAGTCATCAAAATATTAAACTGCTACTAGAACCTATACTTAAAATATGTAGAAAATTCAAATTGCAAGACCACATTCCTTTCAATTATCGACAAATTTTAGATGAAGCATTATGTTCAGAGACAACGGAAGCATGTCACTATGATGAATGTTTTGACTGTCCTGGTGTAAATAATATACTATGTAAAATCCTCGATGTACTTCAATCACATTCAATAGAGACACTTGAATTTAAGCAATGGGCTACTACTGACAATAGATGTCAATTAATTGATGTGCAGTATACAAAAAATGAATTCATTCAACATTTCCGACAAAAATTTATGAAAGAGTTTAGACTGCACAATTATACCGCTAAAAGTCAGGGTGACTTTGTAAGAAAAACAATAGAAAATTTGAGTGAAGATGAAATAGTTGTGATGTCAGACTTTGCAGAAAAGTATGTTTGCACCCATCAAGATGAAGTCCAAGCTGCTCACTGGCGTTACACTCAAGTAACGGTACATCCATTTTTTATTTATAGAAAAGTAAATGGTAAGGTAGAGAAGGAATCATTTGTGATAATTTCCGAAAACCTTCAACACAACGTACAAGCAGTGTCGTTCTTTCGAGAAAAACTTATTAATTATATCAAAAGTAAGAACTACAATGTACACAAAATTTTTTATGTGTCTGATGCAGCTGCGGGTCAGTACAAGAATCGATACAATTTTTTTAATTTAGCCCATCATCATCAAAAGTATTGTATCCATGCAGAGTGGCACTTTTTTGCAAGTTACCACGGAAAAAGTCCGTGACGAAAACAATGAAGACGAGGAGGAATCTTTTTTGCAATCATCAGCAAAAAAAAAAACGAATAAGAAGGCGAATTATCGAATCGTCGTCATCATCATCGTCATCATCATCATAACTGTCGTCATGTCATCGTAATCGCATCGCGATCTATGTCGAAATATTATTATAATATTTGTGAACATAACATTTTTTTCTGTAAACAAATTGTCTTCCATACACTAACAATAAATCTTACTATCTGAACGCTTTGAGCGTATTTAATAGGTAGAAAAATGTGGATATATAAGCCTCATAGATTTAAGTATTGAATTCGTTATTATATTAGGAGAGTGTAGTTGTGCGAAATAATAATTCCAGTGTTTAATATAAGTAATCTTTAATTATAATCAAACAAAATTCAGCCGGCATAAAAAACCCCAGTCCTGAGTGGGGGAAAAGCCATTTGAATAGAAAGAAATTAATACAAATAGTTACAGATAAGTGACTCAATTAATGAAAATTATTAATATGAGCTAACTTGACGGTGAACAAATCAATGAAGTAAGTAAACTAAGAAAATCTGTAATACTGCTGACAATTATAGAACTAAATATGGATTAATACACACGCATACAATTATGAAGACTCACTTGCCTTTGTCGAAGCGCGGATTGAATGGCCATTCAATAGAAAAAACGTTTACCATAGCCGACAGCACACAGTGCTAGGAAGGTGTCACCTAGAACAATCGTAGTACCAACGTCTTGGTCCTGGGCACCGCCTACTACGTTGTTCCTGGTCGAAGGTGCGCGTATGCAGAAGATGGTAGAGTCGGGCTGAAGCCTAGGCAGTCGGTGACACCTCAGAGAACACGCCTGTGTCCTCAGCTAAAACCTTGATCGGTCTTAACCCTTCCGTCTGGCGCTGGGTCGTACACAAGCCGTGTAGTCAGATATATAGGCGGTCGGCGCGCTTTACACGCACT